TGGGTTATTGTTTATTTCAGTCCTTAGTTGTATGAGTCTTTTATGATGTTACACAGATGTTTTAATGTAGCTCAGAAGATAGAGCTGGCGCTAGCAACACCAAGGTCATGGGTTCAATTCCCAGGGAATGCATGAATTGAAAAGATTTAGTTTTAATTTAGAAAGTTTAAAAGCAATGCAAGTCGATTTAGATAAAAGCATCTGCCAAATTTGTGAAAGTGAGATACATACTGTAGGCCAGCTGCACATGAAGGACTAAATGCAACCTAATATCAAGCAAATCAAGTGCAGTGCATTGTGGGATAGGTTATGCTGCACATTTTGCGAAGTTTAGTAAGTCATGCACAATTTTTGCATACTATGCACCGCTTACTCTATACTAGGGATGTAACGATTAACCACGAGCCGGTTGAAAATCGATTCAAATACGTGACGATTCAAATCGGTTGAGATGCTAAACAAATCGCGATTCATTTAGGGGTAGGAGTTTATATTAATGCATGTCTGAGGGGAACTTACTGTCTTTAGAAAAGTTTATATGGTATTTTTTCTTTTCATCTTGCCTCTGTATAATGCATATTAAAATTCATAAGTGCAGCGCTGCTTTGTTTACTGCGGAAACCAAGGAAACGGTTTAAGCGCCACCTGCTGGCAGAGAGTGAATCTGCATCTCATTCAGCTCGTCTGCTGTTTCTGTTTCATGTAGATATTTTTATGTATAGTTTCACAAAACTGAAATCAAACATTCTGTTTTTGCTTCAAATTTCGAAATTATACAATCTAATTTAGATTAAAAACTGCTCATGTTGCATGTATGCAGCATCTTTGTTTGGATCATGATTAAAATGCAGTGGTTGCCTCTAATTTTAAATGGAAAGAGCACAGACAATGCCTTATTTTGTTTATATGAAGAGATTTATTTTATTTGTGTTACTTATTTATTTGATTTGGGGCTTGTTTTAAAATTTCAATTTAGTTTTGTTATTTACATTTACATTATATTTAAATTTTGTCATTTAGCAGACACTTTTATCCAAAACGACTTACAAATGAGGACAATAGAAGCAATCAAAACCAACAAAAGAGTAATTATATGCTATAAGTGCTATATTAGTATATTATTATAGTGTTATATTTCAATTTCACAAAGAAACATGCAGCATTTTGTCCAAGCAATAATAAAAGGACACATTTAATTTATAATTTGTCTTAAATCTCATTTTGTAAAAGAAAACCGTGAATCGAATCGTGAAATCAAAATCGTGAATCGAATCGTGAGTTGAGTGAATCGTTACATCCCTACTCTATACAGCAGAAAGTAGTATGCTATTGTGATCAGTCTGCGCACAGAAAAGACCAACACTGGCTCACTGCAAATGTATATTGAAATAAAAGCGGGGACATTCAGTTTTGCTGTTTTGTATTAGATTTCAAATGCTTGCCGTGATGTCCTTTGCTCTCTTTCCGTGCGTGAGGCCTTTTGTAATCTCACACCGGTAGCAGGGGTGAGAAAACACAAACACACACAAAAACAAATGCATTTTTTTTTCCACAGCACACAATCTCATTCTGCGCTTCAGAGTCTCTGGAGGAAGTCTTTCAGTCGCCCTTCACCTCGCTGTGGGTCCCGATCAGCCCGCGTGTCGTCTGTCAAATCTCCACGCAGGAGAAGAAAAAGACTCGGGATGAGGGAGCGCCGCATCCGAATCCATTCCCCGGGTAATTCATCTCCTGCTGTGTAAAAGAAAAATGAGTGGAAAGAAAGTAAATACGCTCCATTCAGAGAGAGATGCATCATGGGATGCGTGTTGTCTTCCTCTCCACTGCCTCAATCATCTAAACAGAAACCATCCCGCACCCTAGACACCCTGATCAGAGGGAACACAATGAAATAACGATATTGGCCGTGACATTTTGGTGTGATTTTCAGAGGGATATTTAACTGTATTCATCACATAGAGCCGATTGCAGATTCTGACCGGGAAGAAGCCATTAGTCAAATTACACACACGTCTAGGTCTTTACAAAAGCCAATATCTGACACCAGCCTCTTTTATTGCAGAAGAATGATGGCAATTCTAGCATGACACATTCATTTCTTTGGTTCAGATGGGCTGTATAAAGGGGTTAGACGAGGAATGTCTTTGTCATCGCAGAACAAAGCGAAAGCAGACACAGCAACGATAAGGAAATATGATATTTTGTAAGAGGGAGTATAGTAAACTATATCACATGATCACAGCGGAATGCCATATGGTTAGTTTATAAGTCAAGTACTCAATATACAACCTACACACACAGAAGAAAGGTCATGGGTTCAATAGTTGAGTTTTTGATTACCACAGAAAATTAGTTTGATTCATTTTTCATTTTGTCTAAAATAAAATTCAAATCTCACATTTATGCATTTATGTTACTTAAACATGAGTGTGTACAGACTGTAATATTTCTGTAACTGTGCATAATATTTAGGGATTTCAAAAATCCATAAATGTTATGCACAAATAAAAACATGTTATATATAATTATTTATTTTTTTACTAACTGAGTGATGAGTCAAAATGATTTTTTCCCTTTAATATCCAATAGGCCACAAAATAAAAACTTACAAAGCAACTGTACAAAATTATAATTTGATTATAATATATATTATAATTTTGTACTTTGTTTTTTACACTTTTTTTTGGGCCTCAAGGAAAAAAATATGTTAATTTTTTACAAAATTATTATTAATATTATTATTTGAAGGATGAACCCAAATCAATTTACTTTTTCCTTTAATCTCCAAGAGGCCCAAAAAGTAAAACTTACAACGCAACTGTATAATATAATACTTTCAATACGACATGAGCAGTCTTGTTATTCCATGTTGTATTTTTAATCAGGTCCGACCTCAAACAGACAGTCAGTATGATTATGTATGAGAGGCCAAAGCATATTAGTTATGATGCCACTGCAAACAAAGCGAGCAGGGCAAAGTTGTGTGGTGAATCTCTGGGGTGTTTTGCAGCTCCAGTGCACAGGAGTAAGGGCCGCGCGTCTGCCGTCTCCCATTATTCATGAAACCTCTCTTTTGGGTTTATTCTCTCTCTTTCCCCTGATTTCCACTGCAACTTCCACACTTGAGTCTGAGGTTGCGTGACATTAATTAAACCTGGGAAACCTGCCATGACTCTGCCTTCATTTGTGTGTTCTTTAGGAACCACTGACTTTAGTGAGCAATGAGACGAATGCCAATCTGCTTTTAAAGTGTTGCCTAATTGAAAACATTTGTCAGATCTAAAGATAAGTAAGATTGCATGTGTGCTACAGATAAGAAGATCTTAAAATGGCATGCATTTTATTGCATTAGGTAACAATGCTCCTGTATAAACTCGGCACACGTTCTCTGAGACTGTGGCAGGGCCGGTTGACTGTTACTGGGGAAACAGATGATGAGAGAGTGATGACGAATCCACCCGGGACTGAAGAGGTGCGTTCAGCTGACAGCGAGAGCAGCCCGCTTCATTCATCTCCACCAATGGATTGTCATCATACAGAAGAATGACAGCACAGTTCAAGGCAAAGGAGGTGAGGAAGTGTCTGCGTCTGACAGATGTTTCCAGCTCACACGTACAGCACATTTTCTCATTCAAAAGACCTGCGTCTAGTGTTCACTTTAAACATCGCATGCAATAACGCATTAGGGTTCAAACTGAACCCAAGTACTAAATGTGAGTTTCTCAGGTGCTTGTTTGATTTCTGCCTCAGTAAAGTAAAAGTGTGACAAATAGAAACAATTCCCAAAAGGGTCACACAAGACAATTAAGAGTCAGGTCTAGTTGTGTTTCTTTTTTTTACATTACTGTAATGTAAAAGAAAAAACAAATATATATATATATAAATAGATCTAGGTCTATATAATAGGCATATTATATATTGTTATTAGTAAACTTCAAATTATTAAATATATGTAATTTACTCATATTTAACAATTTGAAGTTTACTAATAACACTATTTAATATGCCTATTATATAGTATAGACCTATAATTATTTAATAATTAATTGAAAAATGTATTTTCAAACTTAAATATTTTTTGAAAGTCTCTTCTGCTCACCAAGGCTGCATTTATTTGATCAAAAATACAGTAAAACATTCATATTGTGAAATATTATTACTATTTAAAATAACTGTTTTCTGTTTAAATATATGTTAAAATGTAATTTATTCCTGTGATTAAAGCTGAATTTTCAGCATCATCGCTCCAGTCTTCAGTGTCACATGATCCTTTAGAAATCATTCTAATATACTGATTTGCCTCATTTCTGAGTAAGAAACATTTCTGATTATTATCACTGTTCCAAAAAAAAAATTTGTTGTGATGCTTAATATTTTTCTGGAAACCGTGATACCTTTTTTATTTTTTTTATTGATTAACATAAAGGTGAAATTAACAGCATTTATTTAAAATAGAAAACTGTTGTACCATTATTCAAGTATTTTCTCTTACTTTTGATCAATTTATTGCATCCTTTCTGAATAGCATTTTTAATTTCTGCTTTAAAAATTCTTACTGACCCAAAACATTTGAACAGTAGTGTATATTTTTAGTCACTGAATCCATAAATGTTTCTTTTATAGATTATTGTTCACACAAAAGTAGTTTTAAAAGTGATGCAAAACAATAAATCACTGAACAATGAGGTTTCCTCAAACTGTTTTAGATCCCACTAATAGTTTTTTTAACTTTTACTTTTAGTGCATTTCATGCAAACCAGCCCTTTGCTGCCATCATGTGTATTTCTGAATGAGTGAATATGATTTGTTACATCCTTAAGAATGAGATATTCAATATTTATTTTATTTTTTAAATGGAAGCAATTCAACAGATTTCATGGCAAGATAATAGATTATATATTAGATACATTCAAAGTTAATTAAGAAGAAATCATACATTTTTATTTTATTATTTTTATTGAAAATAATGTCTGTTAAAAACAATCTTGCTGAAGAAAAAAAACCCAGATTGGACAGATTGTGTCCACTGCAACTAGACAAAAGAGGCTGATGTGACATTCTGTGAAGGGTGTGTGAGCGCTCTGCGCATGCGCGCTTATCCTCTCCCTCCTGACCTCCTCCCGGTTTGTGCTGCGCCCCTGCCGCTAATCAACCTCTCCCGCGAAACCCGCTCAAAAACATCCACACAGATCCTGGCATACACTTGAGGCATGGCAGCTCTCTTCGGGAAGATCCAGATCGGCATTTATGTGGAGATCAAGCGCAGTGATGGTGAGTCACACCCAGCAGCAGCTCGTTTATCAGGTTGAGATGCAGTTTGTCGGGGCATCATCTTTGTTTAACCCGGTAACCCCGTTTAACGCAAGACATCCGGTGCACAAAACATTCAATGCCTGTGCATAAACATTCAACGCCTTTCAGTCCTTGGTACGCCTTTGTATTGCCTGGTTTTGGGATGCATGCTCATGCTAGCGAATTTACGAAGCTACTATGGCGGAGGTTGGACTCATAAATATTAATGAAGTCCTCCTGACGTTGCTTGGTAACCATGTTGGAGCGTCTAGGCGCGGAATGCAATTGATAGTCATGAGCTAATACGTCACCAGAACGCCTTCTGGCTGATGTGAGGCTTTCAGCCAATCAGAGAAGCGTACTGGGGAAACGTAATTAATATTCATAAGCCAAGCCAAGCCATAGTACATTAATAAATTCGCAGCCTGTTAGCATCATCCCTGAGGAAGACGCCCAGACATCACCTGCAAAACTCGTTTGTACTGCTGTATTTAACTTTACGTGTTTTAGTTGAGTTTATTGTCCTTTCAGCAATTTACAAGTATAAAGGTAAGCCAAATTTCATTTCTGCCATGTAAATTACAGATGAGACAAAGAATTAACTTGAAACTGTAATGCAATAGTAAGTAGGCTAATAAACGTGTTAATGCAAAATAACAAATAAATAGAATACAAATATTATACATAATAACCAATTATTAACGCAATGCAGGTGTAGTGGTGCAAGCATGGGGTCTATAAGTGGAAGGTTGCAGGTTTGAGCGCTGAGCACACATTTAAAGGAATAGTTCATAAAAAAATTAAAATTCACTCACCCTCAGGCCACCCGAGATGTAGATGAGTTTTTCTTTACTTGCTCACCAATGGATCCTTTGCAGTGAATGGGTGCCGTCAGAATGAGAGTCCAAACAACTGATAAAAACATCACAATAATCCACAAGTAATCCACACCACTCCAGGCCATCAATTATCTTGTGAAGCCAAAAGCTGCATGTTTGTAAGAAACAAATCCATTAAGATGCTTTTAACATAAAACTGTTGCTTCCAGCTAAAATACGAGTCCTCTATCCATAATATTGCTTTCTCCAGTGAAAAAGTCCTCTCTTCTGAATCAGGAGAGAAATATGCACAGATCAAGCACCGTTTACAAGCCAAAACCGCTCTGAACAAATAAGTGGGTGGATTTTGATGTGAGAGGACAACAGGAGATGGACTTTATCACTGGAGGAAGCGTTATTATGGATTATGAACTTGTATTTTGGAGAGAAGTGATGGTTTAAAGTTACAACGCCTTAAAGATGGATTTGTTTCTTACACACATGCAGCTTTTCACTTCCCAAGACATTAACTGATGGACTGAAGTGGTGTGGATTACTTGTGGATTCTGATGAACAAACAAACTCATCTACATCTTGGATGACCTGAGGGTGAGCAAAATTTCATTTGAAATTTCAATTTCGAAAATTTCAAATTTTCATTTTTGGGTGAACTGTTCATACGTGAATCGATGCATTAACCAATGGCCTAAATGGTATAGTTGATCAGTCTTTGGTAGAGTTGTATGGAAAGCAAATATAGGCCCTACAATTTGGTTGTTAGTTAGACTTAGTGCTGGGCGGTATGACCAAAAATTTATATCACGGTATTTTTCAAAATTATACCAGTTTCACGGTACATGAAGGTATTTTTTACGGCTGCGGTGTGGCTAACTGAATGCGCTGCTTCTCTACCGCTCACTGCACAGAACAGAAGCCGAGAGAGGTGACACTTCTCCAGGAAAGTCAGACCTCGCGTTCGCGGGACAGCACTGGCGAAATCTTCCAACT